GTGTGTGTGTGTGTGTGTGTGTGTGTGTGTGTGTGTGTGTGTGTGTGTGTGTGTGTGTGTGTGAGGGTGTGTGTGTGTGTGTGTGTGTGGAAGATATTGTGTTTTACCTATTTACGCTTGTGTGACGCTTGCTGAGTTTTCAGACATAAATACATGAACAACATCTTCATTTTTACGGCAACCCATCAAAATAAAAGTTGAAGAAATTGTGACAGAAACATATTACAATTGTACGGTAGAATGTTAATATAATAACACTAATAATACAATTATGAAAACACACTAAAACACATTTTTTCCTCCATGTTTTAATTTTAAAATTAAGTTGTTGTGCAGAAATGTGAAGTTTGCCAAAATATAAAATGGTTGTTTGATTAAAAGATCAATTAAATTTATATTGTATGCCTTCATTTGAATACCAAAATAAATAAATAAAATACACAACACAGAATTTTGGGGGGTGAGTAAATAAATAAATAAATAAAGTTGTTATTATGCATTTAATTAATAGACAAAAAAATAAATAAATAAAAGTTGTTATGCATTTAATTAATAGACAAAAAATAAATAAATAAAGATACTATGCATTTAATTAATGACAAAAATAAATAAATACAGTTGTTATTATGCAACATGCAACGGTTATGCAACCGATAAATAAAATCAGACAGATTTCATAGGGCTCTACTGTACCTGTACTGTAATGTAACTGACCTGCTGGGATTTGTTAAAGCGATGTATCTCATCGATGAACAGAACGGTCTTTCTCTTAAACAGACGGAGCTCATTCTGGGCCTGTTTGATGACCTCTCGCACGTCGCTGGTGGACGCACTGGTGGCGGAGAGCGTCACGAAACGTCCTGTGCCTTTCTTCTTAATGGAGCTGGCGATAATATGGGCCAAAGTGGTCTGTAAACAACACGCAGACAAACAATGAGATGCTGATATTAATTATGCTGACATGATGGTTTTTTAACATTTTCTCTGACTTGTAGGCTCAACTGAAATCGTGAGAACGATCAAATTTGACACAAACTCCTCAGGAAAGGAACAGACACCCAACATTTGCTCTGCTCTGCTGTAAATCCATGTGGCGATCTTTAAAACACCAACATAAATAAGTGAAACCAGACACTTGACATAGGAAGGTCTGTTTCTGCATCTGCCACGTCGGCTCGTTCACCACGTCTCCTCGGTTTCATTATGATGAGCTACGAACACAGCACAAACTGCACTATCCACCACAGCAATCAAACAGAAGCTTCTCGTCTGAAAACATCTGCCATGCAAACACTGAAGGCAAGATGATAACCTGGTGAATGTGAAAACAACAGCACATTCAAGTTCACTAAATGACCCTCAGGGACTATTATTCTAGCGCATGCACCTGTCAACCGCTAATCTGAGCCTTCCACACGGCTTAACGAGTCACTTTAGGATTGGGAAGACTTCCCACTATGTAACTTCTCAATTATTATTATGCAGCAAGCATGTGACATTTTGGAGAAATAATAAGAAATGCAAATTTAGTGTGGACGGAAGGCCTAATTATTTTTTTTAAAGAAATTAAAATATTAGAGATTTAAACATTTAGTTCACCCAAAAATGGCATATCTTTATTTCTGCTCAACAGAAGAAACTCATACAGGCTGCCGTAAAACATTAAGTTCACCCCCAAATTAAAACTCTGCCACCATTTACTCAGGCTGTCCTAAACCTGAAAGACACCAAATAATTGTGAAAAATGGCTTTCAAAAAAAATTTAAAATAAAGTTGTATTTTGTGTTCTGCAGATACAAAATAAACCCATACAGGTTTGGAAAGACATCAGTGTGTAATAAATGGTTAACTTTGGGTAAACTATACCATAGTATATATTCAAGCTATTAAAATAGATTTTTTGAGGATTTTATAGGTCAAATACTTGTGAAAATGTGTGTGGCTAAAATCTAAATTCAAGTAAACGATCAGTATACTACACAAATGTATTAATTCTAAACCTGGAGTCTCTGGGACCACAATACAAGACTTGTGAAACATTATCAAGTTGAGATCTTGTTTATAACATGTTTTCTTTAAGAGATACTGGGTCAAAGACAAGACGTCCACATCAAATTCAATTTACAAAAGTGCTTTTATATACACGAGTCTACAAGTGTCTACTTTACTGTTTCAAATAACTTTTGCTAAAACGAAATGAAGTGAAATAATGCTCCATCGTCATTCAGAGCAACTAATATATTTATGTAAAAATGAAACGAACTTCTTCAGACCTGTGCTTATTAAAATATTAAAATAATGCAATTATATAACACCTAATTTTATGATATGTGTCCCTGCAGCACAAAAGCAGTGTTGAGTCGCTGGGGGTTTGAATGAATCGTAATCATAACGTTCAAAAGTGGGACCGATTCCCAGATGGAATGATTCTTTTGAGTCGATTCTTTTTATTGATTCGAACACACACAGCTTGCAACTAACTGAAACTTAAAACAGCGTACTTCATATGACAAGGTTAAGATGTCATGTAGAGAAGTATATGATGATTAACTGTGTCACAGGTCGCAAATAAATATTAAGCTGCATTTAAAAATAAAATGTTGAGTTTTTAAATTGCAAATGCTGCCTGTAAAGTCATGTAAAACAAAAACTGGGCCTAAGAAAAAGTTAAATAATAAATGATGAATGCTTTCAAATGTCTTTATTTTGTATGTTTGTGCGTACTTATACTATTTTGTATGTTTATACTGTACGTACTCATAGTGTCCATTTTTGGAAATTGAGATTTATACATCATGATATACATACAGATGAATCTCCTCGAGTCAAAGCCAGACTGAAGGCTGTGCATCGGTGCTCTGAAAGCATCAGTCTGGGCAAACAGGCCTTTTTCCACTGTCTGGAGAGAGTCGAGACCACGTGCTGCTTCTGGGAGCTGAAACATATCGAGCTTGAGGGCAAACAGGTAGAAATACAAGTACACACAAACACACTCACTCACTCACTCACTCACTCACTCACTCACTCACACACACACACACACACACTCACACACAGCTGAAGTAAATATTATTTACATGTGATCTAAGTTTTGAATGCCATGCCAGTCATGCCTAGCACTATTAACAGCTGGGTTACTGGTTTGAATCTTCTAAAATGTTTAGCTTTTAGACTGCCAATCCATAAGTGTGCATTTATGGTGAAGTTTGAGGTCTTTCTCGCAAACCTTGGCTCCACAGAGATAAAACATTGTAGACTGCTGCCATCCAGTGGAAGGCTTGTGCTACAGACTCACGTTAAGCACATGCAGCTACATGGAAATCAACTACAAGTCTATTGGATCTGTTGTTGGTTTGTTTGTTTTTAAGGAGTGCGTGTGCATTCCAATTCAAATAACAGCACAGATAATGCAATGGTAATGCAAATATTTTATATATCCCGCATGGCATATTTAAGTCCCACTTGAATGACGATCCTTCTGTGTCCAAAATGTATCAAAAACATCTAGGGACGAGGTTTTCACACTGACCGCTGTCATTGTAAGACAGTGAGCAACTCTGTTTGTTTGTCCGAGTGAGCAACAGTAACTAATGGCGGCTGGGCTTACCGAGAGGTCAATTGGAAATTGTTTCATCATCCTGCCTTAAGTGCATGGAATGATGTCACACCCGAGGTGCTATTCCTGAGATTCCGAGTCGGAATTTCAACTTGAATTCCAGTTAAAAGTTTCTATGGGAACTCGGAATCCTCGACTTCCAAGTGCAAATGCAACACACTATTAACCTTCCAGGTGCCGCATTCGATGCACTAGTTCAGCATCTTTGCCGTTCTTTTTAACTCCAACTTCCTCCTGTGTCTCCACTGACACTCCAGCCCAAGCTCAGCAGAAATCCTTGATATAGCCAACTCCTATGTACTTCCTCCTCTCCGTTCTCTGCTCTGGTGAGTGCAGCAGGTTCCTTCTGCAATGGATATGCGATTGCATATGTTCTCCGACGAATGATGCAACAATGGCATTATCATCTCCCTTCTGTCTGTCATGATTTGAGAGCAAGGCGCCACTGCTACTTGCTCCACCATTGCATTTTGCAGGAGTCTTCTCCCATGCATTCTCACTGTTCCAAATGTGACCCCCATTTATTTTGAAGGTATGGAAGGCCTTCTTCTCACTCTTTGGTGTGTCTGTCAGCCTCTCGTAAGGATATCACTTGCAGACAAGTTTTTTTTTCTGCCAAATCTTCTGATCCAGGTTTCTGTCTGCAATCTCCAGAAAACTTTTGGCGAGTGAAAATCATTCTTAAAATGTTAGCATGCGTACCTCTGTCACTCACCCTTGCTGGTCCTCTAGCTTGACGATCTTTACTTAGCCTACTTTTCAAAACTATATTAACCACAAACCAGCAGCTAGTTTTAACCTTATTGCATCATCTTGGTAACAATCAAACAAAATGTATTTTTCATGAAGACTAATATAACCCTGTGCAACTCTGAATCTCCTATTGTCCCCAGTGTTCAAAATGCATTAGCTGGTCTGTGAGCGTAATTTGGGAATCAGATTGGGACTACGTTTATGTCCGTTTATGTACTAGGGGCTGCCCAAAACCAAGACACTAGCATCTTATTATAGTTCAACTTGAAGTATATATTATATGAACTGTTTTATAACATAAAAATACCATGGCCAGACGTGTGTCCAAACAAAGAACTGCACTGTATATATTTGGTGTACACAGAATGATGTTCAGGACATACTCGGCGAATTACAAAAATGCATTTCTGTTGAAGGAGCTGAAATCTGAAGCTTCATCTCATGTGAGCTTATCGTATGCACTTTATTTTTATTTGGTCATAGCTTAAGGAGCTATATAGGGGAAGTCGTGGCCTAATGGTTAGAGAGTCGGACTCGTAACCCAAAGGTTGCGGGTTCGAGTCTCGTGCCGGCAGGAATTGTAGGTGGGGGGGAGTGAATGTACATGCTCTCTCCACCTTCAATACTTCAATACCACGACTGAGGTGCCCTGAGGTTCGTAAAGAAAGAAAAAAGCATGTCTTGTGAGTTTAATAAAAAGTAGTGCTGGGCAACGATTAATCGCATCCAAAGTTTTTAAAAGTTTTTAAATTGGATGATCAAAATAAAACTCTTCATAAATGATGTGAAATGTTATAATTGTTTACCTGCATGTCATGTGACCATGGGAAGAATAATACGTAATCAAATATTGGTCTGATTACGAGTATTTTAAAATGTAATCTAATTACCAATACTTAATTTTAGAAATCTGATTAAGCAATCCAGATTACATGCAATCGGTTACTACCCAGCTATAGGCAACCTATAGCAAGTCGAGGAAGGTCTTGTTTTTTACGTTTTGCGACAAGCTGTTCACAAATTGGAAATAAAAAGCAATTAGTACATGAAAATTCGTACATAACAGCAGCGTTGGCATCTGAAGTGGAGGGAAACTGGCTGCCTTGTCGAGCATGAGCTCATTGCATAACAGTTGTTTAGAGATCACAAGGATGATGAGTGTGAGTGAAAAGAGAGCAGCCCATTCAAACAGCCTTATCTCTGCACCTGTCACTCCCTTTTATGGAGACAGATGGGTTCATCCTTTCGGTCCTTCCAGTGGTCACAAAAGGAGGGGGCTTGAGAATGCAAAGACATGTGAAACAAAAAAGAGGGTGTTTTTTAAAGGGAGTCCCTCACACTGCGAAAGCGTTCTGTGCACTGAGTTCCCATAACAGTCCGAGAGAAGAAATAAGAAGTAGTGAATGACAATGGATTGTTTCTTCAAGGGCAGATACATTTGGATTGTTGGCAGCGTGTGTTTTATGGCATCGTATCTCTGGCACAGAATCTGGGGCTTACTCTCATACCGGAGGAAATCCAGATCCTCCACTTCAGCCAGTGAACAGGTAAATGTTCTTTTTACCACTGATAAAAGCTGGAATTTGCTGTTTGTTTATACCTTCAATTTGTGGTTATAAAAAGGAAGCAATTAAAAAAATCTTTTATCAGCTGTTTAAGTGAATCATTATTAGAGTCTGTTGCATGAGAATAAGTACTGACAGCTGTAGTGTTACAAATTGAATCAAGTTTGAAAATGGTTTATTTCTTTCAAGAAGTTCATAACCCTGCATTGTAAACACTGTGCATTACACTATCACTGTTCTGTGTGATGCACTGATAATTGAGAGATAAATAAGACATTTATAATGCATGCAATTTAACTCAGTCCAGACATTTTTAATGCATGCAATTCAAATAATGCTTTTCATTTGACATTTGATTATTTTCGAATAATTGATTTGTAAACCATTTTTACCACATTTGTTTATTAAGCAAAGTTAGCATTAAATGCGCATACTTCTAACATTCTAACTGATGCAGTGCTATATTTAAGCACACTGAGTGCAGTCATGCTTATGGAAACAATGTTTCCAGCGTTTGGCAGAGCACACTAAAGTGATGTAACACTGCATGTCACTTTCTTCAAACCTGATGCATAATAGTCACAAACACATTCACCTGTTTGACAGATAGCTTGAGAGTTGATCAGCAGTGACGTAAAGACGCTGTCAGCACCTGATGCAGCGAGTCACGCAGCTTTAAGACTTTACAACATGTTGACAAATGCCCCGTGCTGAGGTTTGAATAGTCTCTCATTTCACATGACTGTGAACTGGAGTCATGCATAATCCAGTGATCCTCGAGAGCCGAGTATCTGATTGTCCATTTATTAGCACCTTCATGTCAAGCACAGCCATCGCTCAACATCAGGCTCAATCAGTAAACAGTTACTATTAAAGTCATATTGATTCATTTCTTTAACATATCTTACTTTTGTGTATTATGTATGTATACGGATTACCAGAACCTTAGAAAGTGGGAATGCAAACGATTGAAAATGAAGCTAGAAAGCACTTTCTGTTCATTTATTATTTTTTTCAATAATTTCTGCATTGTCACTTTGTTGCAATATTAGTGTTTGATTGTCTTCTTTATGATAGTTCATTTTGTGGTTCTATTTAGCTTGATTTGCCAAGTGCATTTGTATTTTTTTCTCCCGAGGCCACCAAAGTTAGGCTGAACTATGTACTCTTTGAATCTATTATTAAAGTGTCAGGAGATTCAGTGCCGCCACACAGTCGGTATTTTTCCTGTCTGCACCTCAGATGAATGAGATGAGCGGCCCATAAGTTTGTCATGAGGCTGGATTTGAAATAGTCTGATGCTCACAAACAGATGCACCATCCATCACACAATATATACATTCACAGAATATATATATATATTTTTATTTATTTTTATTTTTTTGTGGTTGCATCTAGTTCAGATTTTGCTGAGTATGGTTTTAGTAATGCTTTAGAAAAAAACAAAAAAACAATACAAACAGGAAAGTTGCAGCAATAAATGAACAGACTATAATATTCATAATCATTACATACTGTTTGTAGTGCAATGCAGTTGCAAGCCGTTTGTGATCCTTACATTAGCTATTCATCAAATCTCTGGGTTTTTCATCCAAATGTTAGATTGGTTTTCTGCTGTAGAGTCCACTCCAAATCAGGACAGGACAAATGTGCCTTAGCTGTATTAGCTCAAGCTATTTAACTCCAGTGCTATTCAAAGAATGTGATGACATAGAAAAGTCAATTCTTATTTTTCTTCAGATATTAAATCTTCATCAGAAAGCATACAGAGGTTGTATGTGTACTGTATCCGCATGAGCGCCAGAGCATTACACCCGCGTTACACACGGATCTTGTGTTACACTGCCTCGGCACGTGTCGTGTCTCGGTTCCATCACCGGAAAGTTGGCTTGAGCACAGGCAAAATGATACTGGTACTGCGGGCCAGGGGTCGCAAACTACCCTCAAAAGTCCTGGGACAGAGTGTTCTGGCTGGATGGAGGGGGTGATCAAGAGTCCCCCGCCGAATGG